GGGAAGGGGAAAGAGGGGAAAAAATAAAGTAAAAAGAGAACAAAAGAAAACCTTCAAGGAAGTAAAGAAAAGCTGGGTAGCTTTGAAAACAGTGTATATTATTTATTATATAGGTTTTCCTGAGATGGAAATTTATTGTTTTGTATTGAAACCTCTCTTATATTCTGCTGTGTACATGGCAATGTTCTTATTTTCCTTTTCTCATTTTGTATTTAAGTTTAAAATGAATAAAGAAAATTGCAGAAAAAATAAATCAAATTAACCAATGGTTTATCTGTTTTATTGTTTTTTTCCATAATACCATCTCCTGGTTTTATGTACTAATTCAGTGGCTTTCTTAATTTCAATTTAATTAATCTCTCCTTTGATTTTTAGGGTTTCTCATTTGGTGTTTAATTAGGGATTTTTAATTTATTCTTTTTCTAGTTTTTTTTTAATTGCATGCCTAATTAATTCATCTATTCTTTATCTATTTTGTTTATGTAAGTATTTAGAGATAGGAAATTTTCTCTTAAGTACTGCTTTGTCTGCATCTTATAAACTTTGTCTGTGGCACCTTTTAGCAAAATGTAGTTTCCCTAATTATCTCTTTTAATTAGATCTATTTTTGCTTTTGCTTTGTCCGAGATCATGGTTACTACCTCCGCTTTTTTTTTTTAAACTTCAGGTGAAGCATAATAGATTCTGCTCTAACCCTTTACCTTTACTCTGTATGTGTTTCTCTGCTTCAAGTGTGTTTCTTGTAAACACCATATTTTAGGGTTCTGATTTTTGATCCACTCTGCTATCTGCTTCCATTTTATAGGTTAGTTCATTCCATTCACATTCACAGTTATAATTACTAAACGTGTATTTCTTTCCATACTGTTTTTTTCTTGTTTATCCTTCTCTCTCCTCTCTTTTACCCTGTTTTCCCTCGAAAGTGTTTTGCTTCTGACCACCTTCCCCAATCCACCCTCCCTTCTATCTGCCCCTCCTCTTCTTTTACCCCCCTCCCCCCTCTTTCCTTGTAGGTTAAGATAGATTTCTATATCCAACTGAGTGTGTGTATTATTACCTCTTTGAGCCAATTCTGATGAAAGTAAGGATCAAACATTGCCTGCCACCCTTAACCCTGCCTTATTCTCCTCCTCCCATTTCTCTCTCCACTGTAAAAGTTCTTTCACGACTCTTATGTGATTAACTTACCCCATTCTGTTCTGCCACTCCAGAATTCATTTTGAGGTGCTATTTTAAAGTTGTTTGGAGGGTAATTAGGGAGAGCTCAGGCAAGTCCCTTACTTTACTCCTCCATCTTGGCTCCCTCTAACATTTTGACTAAGCATGTGTACTCCTTAGACCTAGGTCCGTGGTGAAAGACTGTCCTGGGTTCTCTCCTCTTTTTTCTCTGTACTCTCTCACTTGGTGACCTCATCAATTTATGTGGATTTAATTATTGTCTATATGCAAATGATTTCCAGATAGCTTCTGAGCTCCAGTTCTGAGTTACCATCTGCTTGCAGGATTTCGAAGTGGACATCCCATAGACACAGCAAACTCACCACATTCCAAACAGAACTCAATTTCTCTTCCTTAAAACCCACCTTTCTTCCAAACTTCCTTAGTTTTGTCAAGGATACCACCACCCATTTGATCATCCAGGCTTAGATGCTTTCATCTCACATGTTTGATCGTCTGCCAGATCTGTCCCTACTTTGACAGCATCTCTCATAGAGGTGCTCTTTCCTTCACTCGTACAGCTGCCACCTTATTTCAATTGCTGCAGCCTCCTGTCAACAGAAAATCACAACTTCATGAAACTTATGTGAAAAGTAGGTTGTTACAAGATAAATGAACATGCACGTGGAGCCCATAGAATTCACAGTCCATATAGAAGTTTGTATATTTATAACAGCAGGACAGAGGAAGCAGGAGAAAACACAATTCTCCACCTGTTGGGGTGTGGTATGAGAGGGGGAAAATTGTGGTAAAGGTGGAAAAAGGACTAAAACCCCTCCCGAGGGGTAGGAGCAAGGCAATGCCAAAAATCGAGTTCTTTTCCCTTGGGAGCTGCTAGACTGTGAAGATAGGATGGTCAGCTTATCTATAAGAGTCCCAACTACACAAGTTAATTTCCCAGTCTAGACCTGTCTTGATTCCCAAGGACACACGGGGAGTCCAGTTTGGGGTGCAAACAACAAATCATGTCAGCTTCCAGTGTTTCTGGAAAATATGGCAGCTCAAAAAGACGAGTTCAGGGGACCACTTGACATTCCTTAACACTCTTCACTGTCTCCCTGCTACCCCCAGAAAGTGATATGATATCTGTTTGTAAATCACTACAGATATGCATTTATCTCCTCCATCAGAGTGTCATCTCCTTCAGAGTAGGGACAGTTTCATGTTGTCTTTGTTTCCCCAGCACCCGGCACAGTTTCTGGCACCTAATAGTTGATTAATAAATGCTTTCTGATTGATTGATAATCGGAAAATGTAAAAAATGTAGCTGAATTTCAGATTCTATTTTAATTGTAATTCCCACCTTTGTAATGTCCTCACACTTAATAGCCAATGTTTTATTACCTTTGCATGTATGTTCTCTCTTTTTCCTTCTCAGTCCCCATTCAGTTCGTAGCTAACTCCTGCCTTTTTCTTTTGTCTCATCTTTCCTATTGACTCCTCCAGTCTTATCTTGCCTCAGAAATATTTTCTGATCTGGTCATCTTCACTGACCCTATTGCCATTTTCTTAAAAGAATCCTAAATTCCGCTGGGAAGTGTAAACCCAATCCTAATTCCAAGATGTAGTTTATTCTCTCCTAAAAAGAGATCTTACCAGTAAAGACCCAAGCTGTCAGCGATTCCCCAGGCATGACCTGCTTGGTCGTATCCATGCTTCCTAGCCTGATGTTCAGAGTACTTTGCAATCTTGTTCTGACCTAGCTTTCCACCCTTATCTTATGTTCTAAAATCCCCCTCAACCAGACTATTTCCCATTCCTCAAATCTACCTGTCCTTGCCTCTGTCCTTTGCTTATACTTCCCCTCTTCTACGAATTTACTTCTTAGCCCAGCTTTGTCAGTGAAACCACATCCCTCAGTAGTCTGTTCAGATGCTTTCTTTTTCACCAAACATCTGATGTCCCAGCTACTCTGGGCTTTATCCTCTTCCTGTTTGACACGTTGATATTTGTAATCCCTCACCTAGCCCAGTGTTGGGTACAGAGTCAGTTTGCCCATAGTGGATGGGATGCTGCACTTGGAGTCAGGAAGGCCCAAGTTTAAATCCTTTCCCAGATACTCAACTAGTTGCTTGGGCAAGTCACTTATTCTCTTTTAGCCTCAGTTTTCTCAACTGTAAAGTGGGGGGTTGGACTCTATGGCTTTTAAGGCCCTTTTTTTCAGCTCTGAATCTCTGATTCTATGGTTCTTTGATTCATTCATTCAGTGAACAAGCATTTATTAAGTACCTACTATATGCCAGTCACAACGGTGCTAAGTCCTGGGAACACAGAGAAAGGCAAAAAATAGTTATTGCTCACAAAGAGCCCAAAGCCTAATGGAATCATGTAAAAAGAAAATACTATCTTTCTTCAGGTTATTTGGCACTTTTAAAAACCTTTCTTCTATATGTTATGAGATATATAATATGCTAGTATTAAGTTTTTTGGTTAAAAAGGTAAATTATGTTGAATTTTAAAATATTAGATTTTAGAGATATTTGTCTATCTCTGTTGAAGACTTACTTTGATGCCTTCTTGTGTCGTGGTTGTGACCCTAGGTCCTTGAAGGCTTTGCCAAAGGAGTATGATTTTGGGTAGGTTCTACCAGCCTTTGGTATAGAGCTGGTCATGAGTTTATGCCTGCTGCTTGGGGACCAGCCTGGCTAAATGTAGAGACTCATACCAGAAATTTGGCCACAAGGTGACGCAAAGGAAATGCAGAGAGCAAGGGCTCAGATTTACACTAGTGAAGGAGTGCCCACGTTTTGGGAGTCCTAGAGTCAGGGAGTATTTTTTGTGAATGTGGCTTTTAAGCCTGACCCAGCATCTGAACAATGCTGAATGGATGGTGTTATGCTTTTGAAGTCTTTGTTTCAGCGTCTTTGAATGGATGTTGGGTTGTCCTGGTCTCCCTGTCTTGAGTCTCTCCCCACTTCAGTCCAGCCTTCTCTGCATAGTCAGTGGGATTTTCCTATAGTGCAGGACTGACCATGTCTCCTTTTATTGAGTCTACTCCGGGGGCTTCCTACTCTTTATTTTGAGGCTCAGATAGGAAGCCCTCTGCTCTGCCCCTCACAGCCTGCTTCTGAGATATTTTGCACTTGACTCCCTTCCACTGACTTTATAATCCAGCTCCCCTGGCTTTCCTGCTAGTTTTTCTGTGTTTTTTTCTTTCTTTCTTTCTTTTTTTTTTTGGAGAGGCAGTTGGGGTAGGGTTAAGTGACCTGCCCAGAGTCACACAGCTAGTGAGTTGTGTTTGAGGCCGAATTTGAACTCAGGTCCTCCTGACTCCAGGGCCAGTACTCTATCCACTGTGCCACCTAGCTGCCCCCTTTCCTGCTGTTTTCTTGCACATGACCCTCCCTCTCCCAATTCTGTGCCTTGGTACTGGCATTCTGTCCCTTAGAATCCCTGGACTCCTTCAAAACTTAGCTTAGGTGCTCCCTTATACAGGAGGCCTTGTCTGGATTCCTTCACTCCTCTCCTCCCCCTTGTCCTTTCTCTTCTGAAATTACCTAGTTATTTCCATGCTGGCTGACCCATTAGAGCGTGGTACCTGCTTGTAGTCTAGTGTTTAGCACAATGTCTGGCACATAGTAAATGCTTAATACATGCTTGTTGCCTTGCTCTTTATGTTTTGGGTCTTCAAATAGTGTTAGTATATTTGAAAGTTAGAAATTATGAAGTTTTGCCTTTATGCCTAGAAGGGAACTGGAATCTGCCAGGCAATCTGTATACTTTGGATAATATTTATTGATAGGACTGATAAAATAGTTTTTTTCTTCTTTCTTTTGTTTTAGTGTCAAACCAGGATAGAAAAGCTCAACCAAAATTTAAGATGTGAAGAGTCCTTTCTTAAAAGAAGAAAAAATTGATTGTTGGGACTATGGATCGGAGCAAACGGAATTCCATCGCAGGATTTCCTCCCCGGTTAGAGCGTCTGGAAGATTTGGAAGGGGGCAGTGGAGGGGATGGAAATGTGGCCCAGATAGGAAGAGTGTGGCCATCTTCATATCGAGCTCTCATAAGTGCCTTTTCTAGACTCACACGTTTAGATGACTTCACCCGGGAAAAGATTGGGTCTGGCTTCTTCTCTGAAGTGTTCAAGGTGAGTGAGCATCTGTAACTTCATCTCAAGCACTCTGCTGAACATCGTCGCAAAAGGTAGACAGATTTCCCTTTGAAGACTTTTCCATTTGTTCCTAGCTATGGTGGGAGCTTTGGTTAATGGGGTTACTGTAGCTGCTGAGAAATAATTTAAATACTCATTCTTAATGATACATGCTATTTATTTTTGGAAAGTGATACGGACTAGAGAAAAGAGGCAAGAGGCAGAATTGAATATTTGACTTATTTTGCTTTTATAAATGCTATTATGAGACATCCAGAATACCAGTGTGGGTAAGTCCTGAGTGTGGTTGGGATAGGAAATGGAGAAATTTAGGATGAGTACAGGATCTCTTTGAGATATAGGTCTCATCAACTGATTCCAAGAGGATTCACAGTTGAATAGCTTTTTGGGCATAGTTACAAACTGCTTTCTAGAATGGCTATTTTTGTTTATGGGTGAATACCAATTGTAATCTAGTTCGGAAAATCTCTTTTGGTGGTAAATGGTGTTCTTGTTTGTTAGGGGCTTTGGGCTCCTCTAGGATGTGACTTCATAGAAGTAGGACAGATTTCCTTATCAGCTTGTCAGTCTAGATGGCTTAATTTAGTACTGTGTTAATTTAGTACAAATCTCTATGGCTTTAAGCAAAGATTAAATTAGGGATGATTTGTACGGGGAGGGGTGTAGTTAATTATCTAAGGATCAATAGTCAGTAAACATTTTTTAAGCACCTAGTATGATCCGGGCACTGTGCTAAGTGCTGGGGATACAAATAAGAAAAAAAAGACAGGAACCGCACTCTAGGAGCTGACAGTCTAATGCAGAAAAGCAGCACACAGCAGGAAGTTGGAAAGGGAGAGGAAGTGCTACATGGTACCCAGATGTTTGTGGAAGCAAAACCAAGCAGAACAGCTGAGAGGGGATGAAAGTTAACTGGACAATTCAGAGCCCTCTCTAAAGGGAGGCCTTGGGAGGATTGCAGGTTTCTATGGCAGGAGTAGGACGTTCTCTTTTAATACCTGTTAAAATAGGTTATAGCTCATTGGGGAGTGGGGGGGGGTGGAACCTGGTAAATACTGCTGATTGGATAGACTTCTGCTGTTTTTTTTCATGATGCAAGCATAGGAACATCAGAAAGCTTAAAAACCATTTAATTAGAACATTGCTTTCTTAATAGCTTTTGCTTCAGGTATTAAATAGCTCTTCTTGTTAACTACCATACATTATTGGCTAATAATGAATTGAAAGTTCATTTGATCTGGAAGAAAACGAAGATGGACAATCTGGAGGCACTGGGAATAGGGACGGGAGTTGCATCTTCTTCTCCTGCTCCAGGGGAGATGTCTAGATTTTTGAAAGCAGTTAGGTATTTTTTGTATTTAAATTCACTGAAAACCTTATCCCTTTTTTGGGGGGGGGCAGTCATTATTCAGTTAATATCAACAAACATTTGGTGAAGGCAGTGATTCAAAAGAGAAATAAAATGGTTAGAAGAAATTATTAGGAATGAAATTAGGTTGGAATTCAGAACTCTTCAAGCAGTATTTGAAAACACAAACAGTAGATAGAGTAGGAAAAATTGAACATGAGATGGAGAATCTCTCCAAAAAGAGTTATGGTTTTAATAGTGAGAAGAGATTGGGAGTTTTGATGGGCTTTGGGAATAGTGCTGGGGAGGCAGCACTTGACTTGTTGTCAGGAGTCTTGGCCTTGAATCATGGCCCCACTGGTGATTTCTCTGTGGGACTACGGGCAAGTCACCTGTTTCCTCTGGGCCTTAGTTTTCTTCACTGTAAGATGAGGGGCTACACTTGACTTCTGAAGTCCCTTCTGGCTCTAAATCTGAGATCCTATTATCGCCTGTAGTTAGCCAGGTATCTTGGTGGACACAGTGCTCAATTTGGAGTCAGAAATTCTACCTCAGCCACTTTCTGACTAGCTGGGTGACCCTGGCAAGGCACCTAACGTTTTAGCCTCAGTTTCCTCATCTGTAAAACAGGGATAATAAGAGCACCATCCTTACTGGGTTGTTGTGAGAATCAAATGAAATAATTTATGTAAAATACTTTTGCAAACCCTAAAGCACTATATAAATGTGAGCTATTACTATTATAATAAACCTTTCTCCTGTACCAGTTAGAACCTCATTTTTAAAGGCAACATTTGATTCTTATAAGTATATTTGCGTAGAATATTGTAGAGACAACAATGTGAGTATAAGCCAACCACAGGCTGTTACCGAGCAGGAAACATCTTCATTATTCGTTGTTTTTATTGCAGCACTTTGTCCATCTACAAAAGGAAGTCCTGTTTTTCTTCCTTTGGTGGAAGATATCTTGCGCTTCCTGCACGTGTAGGGGTTGGGAAGCTATTTCAAAATACCCCAAGTCTTACAATGGATCATTTGTACATAGATTGTTGCAAAAATGGACTGGCATTAAAAAAAAACCCCACAATCTTTCAAACAAATCTAGCTTGAGAAATGCCTGAAAGAGTAAGTTTTTTTACCTGCAAGTACTGTTTGGAGACTGTGCATGAGACACAGAGCCTTCAAGAACTTATCCTGGATTGTCCATGATTCTCTTAATTTGGGTTTCTATGTCTCCTCGGGCCTCCTCTGAGCTCTCATTTGAAAATGTGCTCTTATTAATTAGCCTGGTGTTTGTCAGCCAGTCCTAACAAGAAAAGCACCTACGGGTTGTACCAGAGACCTGATGAAAGAGTTTAAAATTCCTAGATTGCTGGTGAGGCGAGTAATGGCAGATCATTGGTAGCCAGGGATTAGCAGGAAAAGTGTGTTGGAGGACCTCTTTACTTCTCTGTGTTTGGGGATTTTTTGTTTGTTTTGATTTCATTTGGAACCCAGTATTCTGTAGCATTCTGGGAATTGACATGTTTCTTGAATGGTTGGAAGAATTCGTACCTGAGCCGGCCAGAAGCCTTCTTTGTGAAAGGAATGAATGATAGGTTGTGTTAAATAGGCAGTACACTCCCAGGAACCTGAAGAAGCAGGGGTGGCTTGGGGAGAAGAATGTGGCAACCTGGAGGACATTGAGTCAGTCACATGGTAGAAGTCGGAGTCACTGCTTCAGATAAAATGTTTGGCCAATTTATCTGAAAGCATCTTGAGTAATGATTGCACCCATCATGACTTAAATTATATCCTTGCATCAATCTATTCAAACAGCTTCTGAAGAAATGTCCATGTTGCATGTGCTAGGTTTCTAATATCTCCTTTTCTTGCTTGTTGATTATTACCAGAATTAGTCTCTAGATCTTATACTCCGGTGTGAAAGGCATCAATACCTTTTTTATACCTTTTTTTTTTTGCTCTTTGGTGAGGCAGTTGGGGTTAAGTGACTTGCCCAGGGTCACACAGCTAGTAATTGTCAAATGTCTGAAGACAGATTTGAACTCAGGTCCTCCTGACTCCAAGGCTGGAGCTCTCTCCACCGTGCCACCTAGCTGCCCCATTCATTAATAACTTTTCAAATTAAATTTTTCTTGCTTTATTTTTAAAATCACCTAAGTTTCCCAGGAATCCTTTCCACCCCCTCCCATTTGTCCCTTATAACAAAGAATAGAAAAGAAGGGAAAAAAACCAGTTCTGCAAAACTAGCTAATGTATTAGGAGAAAAAAAGTGACATATACATTACATATCCACAGTTCCTTGCTTCTGCAAGATAGGGGGAGGTGCTTCCTTATTGCTTTTCTTTGAGGCTAGCTTGGCCATTATAATTTCTGAGCATTCAGTTTAAATTGTTTTGTTGTGTTTCTGTTTCCTTTGTTATTGTTTTCCTGCTTCTGCTTACTTCACATTGCATCTCTTCATATAAACCTTTCCATGTTTCCCTAAATTCACCATTGTTATCATTTCTTACAGCACTGTAGTCAATCTAAAAGCATTTAAATGCTTATTATTTGATACTGTGCTAAGCACTGGAGGTTCAAAGAAAGGCAAAACTACAGTCCTTTCCCCCAGCATGCTCATGGGGGGAGGTAACATACGGTATCTGACCATATAAGCGATATACAGTGTCATTGGAAGATAACCTTACAGAGAAAGTGGCAGCATAGAAGGAGGTATTTGAGCTGAGTCTTAAAGAAGCCAGGAAGCCATAGGTAATGGTGAGAAGGCTCTGTCCTGGCTCTCTTTTCATCTCCCTCCATATACTGTCTCACTTGGTGATCTCATTTACTTCTTCTCTCCCTCTGAATTAAAAAATCATCCATATATAAATGACTTCCAATTATAGTTACCCAGCCCTAATATCTCTTCTCCTGAGCTCCAGGCCCACATAATCAACTGCCTTTTGGATTTCTAAAGCTGGCTATCCTGTAGACATATCAAACTCAACAGAACTCATTATCTTTCCCCCAAATCTTCCCCTTCTTCCAATTTTCCTATTATTGTCAAGGGACCACCATCCCCTCAGTCATCAAGGCTCACAACACTGCTGTTATCCTCAATTTCTCACTTGCACTCACTCCACAGAGCCAGTCTGTTCTATGTCTTGCTGTTTCTGCCTTCGTAATATCTCTCATACATGTCTCCTTCTCTCTGTTCACATGGCCCCACCCTGGCATGGGACTTCATCACTTCACACCTGGACTGTTGCACTAACCTGCTGGTGGGTCTCCCTGCCTCATGTTTCTCCATTCTACCATCCATCCTCCACTCAGCTGCAAAGTGACCATTTCACCCTTTTACTCAGACTCCACTTGACCTTTCCAGCTATCCTCACACTGTCCTGCCTTCCACATGCTACCATCTGGCTATGTTGGCTTACCTGCTGTTCCTCACACCTTCTATCTTCCATCTCTGTGCTTTTGCGGTGACTTTGCCCAATGTCATGAATGCTTTTTAAGTGATCTGGTATGCATGGAGCTTAAAAGTTTAAAAGTAATCTTTCTTCTAAAGGACAGCTTTCAGGGAGGGCTAGAGGAGGGATGGGGTGGAAATCTAGGTGTTTTAAAAGTAAAAGATATTAATAAA